GTAATAGAAAGTGGAGTGTACTCTGGAAGTGGTTCAGTGAACATGAAACTTACTGAACAGAAATTTAAGAATAAAAAGCATTAATGCTTTTGGCTAGCAGGTTCAAATGTACAAGTCTGTTCATCTTGACCAACTATCCTACCTGATGTTTCCCTGCTTCAACACAGCTGACTGAAATGAATAAGTGGCTGACAGGCTTCGACAGGAGCTAATTTCATTATTTGAATCACGTGTGTTGAATAGAGATTTGACGTTCGCAAATTGTTTGAATGACTTCTTACAAAGATTGATAAGAAGTGAGTTAAGGACAGTGAAGAGGTGTTGGGAGGTTTGTTTGTTTTTTTAACCCTGGCAAAATCTTTATTTTTCTTCCTTAACCACAGAAACAATCAGTGAAAACAGGCAGAGGGGTGGAATACTTTTACAACAAGGACCTGATGATAAGGCTCGARTCAAGCAGTGAACATCACTTATTCTAACTTCTGGGCAGTCCTGAAGGCAGAGGGTGTAAAACAACACTATTGCTAAACAGGAAGTATTGGTCCGCACAATTTTTGGCGAAAGTCAAGTAGCCACATTGTGCAACGATCCAATTGTTCTGTTCTGTCGATTAATCGAGTAAAAACAAGTGTCAGGTTCTTCAGTAATATCTTAAGCTTATTTTATGACAATGACATTTATTTAATATTGTGAAGGTGATCCTGCTGCAATCGAAATAAAATTACCAAACCAGTTGTGTTTGATTCATGTGTTTGAAGCTCGACTTGCTTGTATTTATGTGTGTGAGGTTTGAGGCTGTGGTAATTAAAACCACTCTGTCATTGAATCATTTGTAACCATCACTGAAAATCTAAATACTGTAAACTCATTTTAATTGATAGGAGAACTGAATGTTATCTTTTATGTTAGAAATTAAGTAAGTAAAATAAGTAATATAAAATGATGAGGTTTGCATAATGGGTTTTGTAAAGTTCCCTTGTTATTGTTAATAGTAAAAGTAAATTCAGATTTTCACACTATTATTATGCTGGCACAGTGTTTAAAGTTCYCTTTTTAGACAATAAAACATTTAATCTTGTCCACTTAGCTATAAACAAATACAACAGCAGTAATAAATAAAGGTTATTGACAGGTTTCAAAGTCAAAATTGTAGCAGCAAAAACAAAACAAAAAAAAGTCCACAACTAAACAACTACAAGTACTTTTGAACTTGAAATATTCAGTCCAAGTATTTCATTTAAGTCAATACAGAAGAATATCAACAAATAAATGTTTCAGCTCAAGCTCTCAGTCTGTTGTTGTGTTTTTATCCTTATTTGACACACTTACAGTAAGTGTTGTTTTTATCACACTGGTAACCACTAAGATTAGTCAGTACATATAACATCAGTCAAAATATGCCTGCTTGTACGGGCATCATGACAGATTATCACATATTCAGGTAAATGCATTTAGCAAAAGATACCTGTTGTTAACTCCAGACACATTTGATGAATACAGCAGCTGTTTTCATGCACTGTGTTTCTTTTCTGTTTAGTTTAAAATGTTTTCACACATTTGACAATTTCTGTTGTTTTCTGGGGGCTTYACTTTGGGGCTCTTCGTCTCCCTCCACAGCATTTAACATACACGTGTAGCCTAGCCAATAGCGGGAGTGTAACACAAATAACATATCAGACGGACAAAAGTGTCTTTTTTAATAAAGCTTCGAGGCAGATCATTTGCCTGGATGAGTTTTAGTTATCGAATTACTAGAATTATTCGAGGAATTGTTTCATCTCTATTTCCTGTGTGGAGAACACACGGAGGGTCAGGCTGTGGTGTGCTGACTGAATGTGGCCATGTCTGACTGAAATATTGAATTTGTCAACTTGATACATGTTGAATTCATGGTAATGTGTGATAAAAACACAACTATATAAAAGAATAAGTCCGCTGCAGTACCTCCGACCTTGGCCCTGACCTTTTACCCAGAAATTGAATTTTTGTCGTGTCAGGACCCAGTTTTGGTTCTCATAGGGCAGAGATTCTTAACCCCTGGGCCACGGCCCAATTGTGGGCCGCGAGTGCCACCTTGAGGGCCYCAAAAGAACAACAGTTTTAAACTTTGGGCCACAGAGGGCCGTTGGACCGCATTGATTTTGAATAAGGTGCAATACACTTTCTCACCACTAGTAGCGATAGTGCACCACTCAGATGTTTAACAACTTTTTTAGTACGTAGAAGAAGAACCTTAGAAACCTGCCAAGAATGGAAACCTATTTTAAATTAAAAGTAGAAGGCAAAAATTAAGGTAATCCATCAAAAAATGCCAAAGTTTGTGACTAATATGAAGTGCAGCTTCTGTTTTATGATGNCGCGGGGGCAGCAGCTTCAGAAGGGAGGCCCAGACCTCCCTCTCCCCAGCCACTTCTTCCAGCTCCTCCGGGGGAACTCCAAGGCGTTCCCAGGCCAGCCGAGAGACATAGTCCCTCCAGCGTGTCCTGGGTCTTCCTCTGGGCCTCCTCCTGGTGGGACGTGCCCGGGATACCTCACCAGGGAGGCGTCCAGGAGGCATCCTTACCAGATGCCCGAGCCACCTCAACTGGCTCCTCTTGACGCTAAAGACCGCTAAAGCGCAAATGAAATATTTAGGTCCGCAATTAGCAGATTTGTGCTTTAGCGGACTGGTGCCCACCACTGCTCAGTGCCCTCCCCCACAAAGAAAATGTTTCTGTTTTTCTTTTTAATAAATGTTTACAATTTCATATAATTCTGTGTTTCTCTGTCATTATACGGTACTGAGTGTAAATTAACAAGGCTTTTAAATAATCTGAAGAGTTGGAGCATCAGGTTACAACAAAACAGAAAAAAAAGAAATAGAAAATATTTTGTGTTCTATGTCAGAGTTATCTGAAATGAAAGAAACCACTCAAAGCAATGAGCAGCCATGATGGAGCTGGTAAATGTATCTACAAGCTAATTAAAGCTCCTTTCAGTCAAGTCTGTAACAGTTGAGACAACTTATAAAAATGTTGTCCAACATTCTGAAGATGAAATAAAAAACACCTGGCAGCCCTGTTTTAAATGTGTACAAGTTGAACAAATAAATATTCTATATGAGTAATTTAGTCATAATAAAGTTTTCACAAGTTCTCTCAAACATAATGTGACAGGACCTGAAAGAGGCTTCAAAACTCACTGTTTTTTTTTTTACCTCTGAGTTCATGAAGGAAAACATTTCCTCACATTTCCCTGCAGCAGTAATGCTGGAAGCAACACACCAATTTCATCAGGTCAAATTAACTGAGACTCATTTCATCACACATCACAGCAGGTGTGTGAGCGACTCTTTCTTTCTTTTTGTTTTCTGTAGATCATAGAAGAGAAACAACACCCCGATCATGTTTTACTGCAGTGAGACCACTCAGAGACCACCCAGAGGCTG